CACTTTTCTGTGATCTGGCCGGGAACCCCTCCACCCGTTGTTGCAGTGGAGCCTCAAGTGAACTGAATAGCATCGCGTAGAAGAGCTATACGGGTTGAAGACAAGGCGCACAGTGTGCGATGCGCTATTTTCCCATTTTATAGCTCTCGTTTGTCAATGATTCATTCTGACTCTTCGTCATGCGCCACGTTTTTTGTTTGGTCCAACTTGTCTAAAATATTCGTTTCTCCATTAAATATTTTGTGTGAAATTACGTTCATATATGTGGTTAAGTACCTCGGCACATTTACGCTTCTTCCTCTCTTTTGTTCTGCTTCTGACTCGCTTCTTTCGTCCTATCAATTCATTGCCTTCGTGCTTTTTGTGAGGATCTTAATAACAACTTATTCTTTATTCTTTCTCTGGACCAGCTATAACTTGCTTCTCGATCATTATCTAGACTGCACTCTTTGGGGAGGTCTCTTGCACGGGGCAGTCAGTCAATGACATATCGGTGAAGATTTTAGGTCCAGTCTCTGGATGTCCGTTCTTCGCCTGCTGGTCTGAACGATGTTCTGTGACGAGACGGTCGTCGGCGTAGTTGGTAGACTCTCCGGTGACAGTTTAGGGTTCATAATCTCTGGCACGGGCGGTTACGTTAAGCTGAATGGGTCTTAGGAGGCGTGGTCTGTTGTAGTTTGTACAAAAGAGAATGTGTTGTTTTGATAAGTATTGAGTTTGGGTCATGACATTCTCTGGTTTTGTCGTCCGCTGATTCGTTAACTGCGCTTTGAACTTCAGCATTCCTATATTCACCGGGATGCGATAGTTAAGATCTATGACATGGGTAAATTATTCTTTGAGTTTTTCGGTTGGTATGAGTGGTTCAATCGCATCGTCCAGGTACTTCACTTCTCAGTCGTAGCGTGTTAACCTCTCGATGGTTTCGTTAAGTTGTTGGCTTTTCGTTGTTTCTTGCAATGCATTCTGAAGATGATCAAAGAGAAAGGTTACTTACCTGCGCAATTCAGTTTTTTTTTGTGGGAGAAGACGTTTAATGTCGGCGTCGCTGAAGGTGTGAATGCCTTGGCTGTTCGCTGCGTTGGTTGGCATCTCGTTAATGTTGCCGGGCGCTTTGTGGCACGTTGGCTGGTGTGACGCTCCGTTGAATTGTGGAATCAGATCCTCACCGCTTCGTTATAGTTTCAGGGATGGAGGCTAAGAGACGATGAATAATGAACCCAAGATAAAAGTTTAATCGGCGAACTTGGGCCAGAAACAAAAGGAAGAACAAACATGGAGAAACCAGCAGCGATCGGCGGTGCGTCGTGACAGCTTACTCGCGGCATAGTGAATGAGTCGGAAAGACCGCCATCGAAGCCTTGTCTACCACACTCTGTTTCGAAAATTCAACCTATACCTCGTTTTACCTGAAGTCCAGACGAAGCCGATGCTACGAGTTGATGGGGAAAATCAAACAGCCTCAAACGCGCACCGTCATGGTGTTCGTCATGTTTCTCTACGTGTTCCATCAACCCTGAACCAATAATTAACAAAAAAGGCCTTCTGACTTGCGCTTTTGACGTTGTTTCATTTGTCCCATTACCTGGTAGCTTCTGCCAGCTGCGTCTGAACTAAAGCAAACACGAAGAAAAGAAAGGTCGGGAGTGAGCAAAGGGGAGACTGACTAGGCGCGATCATTCTGGCCTCTTACTCGGGGTAAGAATAAACACGAGTCTTCTAGAAGTATGTTGATGCGCTCCATCTTGGTCATGCACGCCGCCTTTGAATTTGCATCGACCCGATGCAACATTAAACAAATTAAAAAAATTAAACGATATGACCGTTTATATTAAACCGTCGGGATGCACCTCGTAGTTCAAGCACAAAAAGCGGCGAGAGAACTTCAAACTCGGAACGAAATAGGCTGCTCTGATGTCGATGAGCGCGTCGCGACATGTCCGTTGATGACCTCGTTGAAGTTCTTTAACATCGTCACTGGAGTGCCCTTTCGATGCGTCTCGTTGGTAGAGTAGGAGCGGTCCGACATTCGTGGAGGATATTTGCGTCGTTTGTCCTTGGCAATTCCTCCTCCCGGTATTGCCACACTCAGTTTTCCTTGGGAGCCAGGGAGACAAACTCTCCCGGCAAGACCTACGAAGAGTCAATGCAGTGCGTCGCGGTGAAGGCGAGCGAGCTTCCCGACGGCGAAACGGGCGCAGGAGACGGTGAACGGCGAAGATACTTGTTGATATGTCGTGGGCGTTCACTGTACCATGGGCACGGGCAGTTCGGGTGGAAGCCCCGCAGCCCAAGTGGCCGGTAGGGGAATCGGCGATAAATGTGGTAGGCTTCCCCCAGTGGTAGCATAGCGGACGTCGGTCAAGCGTTCTCCAGACGTCCGTCTTCTTTGGCGTCGAGCGTTCTGGGGTAGAGGCATGTCGCGTCGGTAAAGTGCAGGGTACTGACGGGCAACAGGTGTCGGTGGTAGGGTCATGGCGGCGTAGGTCAATGTCTGCTCCTCCGAGGCGGTCACTTTTGATGGGAGTCTCAGGCAGCAAGGCCCGTTGGACCTCGTCGCGTACGATCTCAGCGACTGAAAGCGGGGCCGGGCGCTCACCAACAGGGACCAGCTTTCGGAGCTCCTCCCGGACGACGTCCCTGATAATTTCCCGCAGGTACGATGAATTGGAGCGAACGTAGCAGCTTGAGGACGAGGATACAGCGACCCCAGGTAGCCGCTGCTAGCGCGAGTCTCGTGTCTGAAGGGCATGTTCGATGTCCGTGCCCTGCGTCATAAATTGCTCGACGGTCGGAGGTGGACTGCGCTCAAGTTCCCCTATGATGTTGTCTTTGACCCCGCCGCATGAGGATCCTCAGTTCCTTTGCTTCAGAAGCTTCGGGATCCGCCCGGCTGTTGAGTCGAAGCACGTCCTCGACAAAGCTGACGATGCTCTCGTTGGGGCCTTGAACCCTTGCCTGGAGCAGCTCCTTACCGCGCTCTCGTCACTGCTGGGTTGCAAACACTTGACGAAGCTCCTCCTTGTATGCTTCCCAAATGGTGATCGCCGCCTCGTGGTTATCATACCAAGTACGCGTTGTTTCCCCGAGGGAGACGTAGACTTTCTGCAGGCATTGCTCAGGCGTCCACCCACTGTGTCGGGCAACTCGCTCGTACTGCTGCATCCAGTCGTCGGCATCTTAAACTTCGCCGTAGAAGGGTGTCAGCGTATGAGGTGCGACGGGCAGGAACACGATGTGGGAAGCAGAAGCAGGGCTCTCGGTCGGCTGGCCCTAGGAAAACATCTCCAGGTTCATCGACTTCTTCCTTGGATGTTTCACCAATACACAAAATCCTGGCGGCTGACCTTAAGGCTTGCTCGGGTTTCGTCTAACCTCACAGAAGAATGTTCTCCGGGGCTTAAAATCGATCCGGTGCAGCGGCTTCTTCGAAGTGTATGAGGAACAGACATGAAAGTTACCCCGCACCTCCACCAGAAATATCAAGGATGAAGATGAAGAGACGATGAATAATGATCTGAATATAAGGGTTTAATCGGCGAATTTGAGACGGAAACATAAGAAAGAACAAGCGTCGAGAAAGCAGCAGCGAGCGTCGGCGGCGGTGGCAGCGAAGCGAGCGACGGTGCGTCAGTATGACAGCTGTCTAGCGCGAGAGTGAATGCGTCCGCAAGACCGCGCTCGGCTCGGTATCTACATTACTTTGTTTCTCGAAAATTCGACCTAGAAAGTTTGGGAGTGAGCTAGGGCAAAAAAAAATTGGGTTTTGTGTGTGTTTATACAGCCTAGAACTTGGTCTGCCTCACAGGGGCGACGAGTCTCCCAGCTGTAGATGAGAAATTTAGCCAGTGCGGTACAGCCGCTAGCCTGGGGTCTTTAACGTGCATCACGCAGTAGTGATACACGACCGCACGCCGGTACGATGCTCATCCAGATCGAAACGGGCAGGGGTGGGGCTCGAACCCAGGATCCCTGGGTTGAGCTAGGGCAATACTTACTAGGCAAGGTAATTCTAACCTCGTCTTTTACACTCGCGGTAAGAATAAACACGAATCTTCTAGAAGCAAGAATAAGCGTTGCTTCTCGGTCATGCAGGCGGCAAAAGCTTCTCCAGGGGTTCGGCAGCATGTTGTAAGAACGGCTCACTAGTCGTTTGGATTAATAAGGTCAGCAAGAACGTTTAGTGACAGGTATTCACATATCCGGCTTCGTCCATTTATGACCACTTATTGATCATCCTCACTTGCATTACCTCCCTCGGTATCCGGCCTACTTGCTCTTTTGTCGGGACGCCCGCTTCCATATAATAAGTTGTAACAGTCCTTGTACCAGTGGAGAAGAAAAGGAGAGTGTGTAATTTAATTAAAACAGTAGCAGCATTGTGTACAATTCTTTGCAGGCACAGTTTCGGCTTAACAGAAAGTAAAAATCTACATGAAGTCGTCCTTCCCGTGTTGTTCTTATAGATAATCACCACAATCCAAGGTATTTAAGTTTCCCCTATTTTAATAAAACCGGCTGGTGGGTTAATCTTTGGGGTTACCGGCATTTTCCGAAAAGAAGCAAGAAGAGTTTAAGAAAACTCATAAATTCTGTTCCAATACAAACAAAATCGCCCTACGAGCTATTGCATAAATAAAGGTGCTTGCGTCATACCGCTGTAAAACTTAAACATATCGCATTAGTTCTTTCGCGACTCATATTCCTGCACGACAGTGTGAATAAATGTTACCTGAATCTAGAAAGTGAAAATACGTAGGCCAGCTAGTAAATACACTCATAATAAAAAGAAAAACAGATGCAGGGAATGGTAACAAAACGGACAAGCACGCACAGCCTCAAAACACAGAGCTGTGTTTTGAGACTGTGTTTCTGCTTGTCTGTTTTGTTGTTATTCCCAATCTCGGTCTTTTTATTATAAAATAAAACTTGTCTGCATAAAAAAAAAAAAAAAAGTTTAGAATTTATTCGCATATTTTCACTTCATGTCGTTGCTACAGGGGTGCTGGAGCTGTACAGAAGAATCGGTTCCCCCATGTTTTACGAAGAAGACGAAGAGGTAGGGAGCAGTGTCTTGTATCCTGCTTTAGGATTTTAAAAAAAAAATCGTATCAACATTCGGTCTAGATTTTTGAATATTTGTTTAACATGTCGTTATATTTTGTTTCTAGATTGTAAATAGCTACCTCGTCTGGGGCGGAATCGCCCTGCACTACGCTGAGGTAGGCAAAATTTGCCAATCCACCTAGAGCGAAGAGGGGTCCGTATTTACCGCGGTGCTTTTCATATTTCAGATGTATTCCATCATGGCCCGGCAGAGGAAGCTCCACAGCTTTCTGTTGGCTGTTGTTAGGTACCACGCATGCCTTTGTTTGTGTCCACGTAATAAAAACAGCGGAATTAGACGGGACATAGTCAAAGAGAACCACACTGGAAAAGCCTCTCTTGTGTAGTTCCGCTTAACTTTGTTTCATCAATTTGCGCTGTTTTCATAATGTTGATCAATCACAAATTAGCTCAGCAATTTACAATTTGGCTGTACATTTTTGTGTAATAATACAAAAACTGGATTGCAGCTCTTTTATTTTCATTTTCTGTTCGTCTATTTCCCCGTAGATCTATATTCCAGGACATGATTAGTATGGACTCGGTCATTGTCAAGATTATGGTAAGTTTACTTGGCACGTTTATTTGATTCCACACTAACACAAAATGTGACTTCCTTAGGCGAGCATCTCTGCCAGTCTTGTCTTTATTCATGTCGCTTCTTTTTTTTTATTTTCGTTGATGCAATTGAAACGAAGTTGAAACGAGAACTTAGTCACAACAAAGTTTGCTACCGATTTAATTCTGAAAATAAGCATCAATGTGTATCTCCAAACCAATTTTTTTTTTGTAGAAACTAAATAATTTTTTGTGTAGGGGGTAGCAGAAGCAATTGAAGAAATTATTATGATTTTTATATCATTACTAATTGTCAGCAAGTAAGATATTGATACAAATGAATATTTTGTATTTGTATTTTTTTTTCTGCCAATTTTCTGCCCATTTTCTGCCCATTTAGCCACAACGCTTCTTTAAATTATGGGCTTTATTGCAATCCAGACACAACTTAATTTCGAGTTCAGGATCGTAGCACAGCCATTCAACAAAAATATATGCAACAACACTATGTTATAACTTGAAATAGGGGGATAAAAATGAGCAGTCATATGTGAATCTACAGTACAGCCGGTGCAATAGCTGCGGCAACTTATGCGACGCAAATGTATTTTTATGTACCTTGCAACTTACGTGGAGACACATGCATCGACAATGCCTGCTCAGAGAGTGACACACTCATCTATAAATAAAAATCGGTTGTATATGATGTTACGTGACTTTTATGAATCAATCAAGCTTTTATGAAAATATCATATACCTCATTAGTAGTAAAGCTAATCGGACACTTGGCTATCTCCCATGTAATATTTTCCTTTTTTCCGAAGAAACAAAACTTCTAGCATACACCTCACTCGTCCGACCTCAGCTCGTATACTCCTCATTCGTTTGGAATCCTCACCAGGTATTTCTAGGAGACATATTAGATGCAAACCAATATCGTGTCGGAAGTTTTTTTTTCCCCGCAATTGTAGTTTTGTAGCGAGTGCCACCCCATTCAAAATACAATTTGTCCTCTCCCTTCGAGAAAAAGCGCAATTGCAACCTGCCCTAACCATGTCAGAGAAGTTTTACCACACAGCGAGTGACTCGTCGCAACTTTGAAATGGCTGACCAACTACACGCTGTATAAATATCCACACGACATCATTTTTTTAAAGTTTTACCACAACCTTCCTTTACAAAACAACTTATACTACAGCCCGCAGCTCACATATTCCGTCGCTTGTATAATTATAGTGAACTACTTCTATGTACTCCTTATACTAATCGCTTTAAATGATCTCCCCTGCAACTGCACATCAACCATTGGAACAAACCACCAGACTCTATAGTAGCCATACCTATTATTTCAAAATTCCGGGAGGGACTTACCCCCTATTACGAATCATTATTTACTTCTCTTGGATATTTCTTTTTGTGTGTTTTTCCTAATTTCTATGGCATGTGTACTAGTAATGATTGTACGGCGCCCTTATCTAAAGCTCAACGTGGCAGTTTAAGGTCCACAGTATTAAAGTAAATGAAACAAAAAAGTATCACCTCTTGCCGTTTCTTACAATATAAGAATATTTTATTATCCAAAACTGTCACTTTTGCCACAAATTCACAGCTCGTGTTAGAGCACTTTCGTCTTCTATTTAACATTTAATTCTCTGTTATATAAGAATCATTACAGCCGCTTTAATTACTTTTGTCAACTTGCCAGAAGAACAGTTGCATGGTCAGCTATTTTTTGGCGCATTTGCGTTCTGAAGTTTCGTTATGTTTTTAAGAAGGGCCTTAATTTTGTGAGAAAATAACATGCTAATACAAAGTAACTTTACGCTTAGCATAGCAGCTCGTTTGCGTTCAGTACCGCACGTCATCACTTGCTAATTGAGACTCGGTAGATTTAGTTTCTGCAGACAATAAACGATAAAATAATGAATATGTTGGAGGAAAACCACATGTTAGCGCGAATCAGTCCTAATGGATGAATCGTTCATTTTGAGGCCTAGACAGTCGGCGGGTTGTTTACCTAAAAATGGTGTTGTGGTCCTCCTTACATCTTTGTTGATGGGAAATTTAGTCAGGTCAGTATTGCTACAGCAAAGACTGCGGCTCGCGCTTGTTGTTGCGGTAAAATCATGATACAATACATAGACAGTTTAGCCCTCAGTTTACGGATGAATCTCAGTTTGCAACCAAAAGAAAGCTGCCATATATATATATTCTTTTTTTTTGCGAGGGAAGGAGGGGAAGGTGCATACTATTTTTATTTTGTTTCCCCCCCTCCCTCCCACTCTGCGTACGTCGTTCGCCTATTGGGCGTGTCCTTGCCTCGATGGAAGTGCTACGAAAGTGACCCTTAGGTATCCTTGAATTGCACAGGCGTTCGCGCAGAAGCTGGTGAGTGCCGACCGGGCATCCCTGTTCCTGGTGGATAGCCGCACGAAGGAGCTGTACGCACGCATCTTCGACGTGAGCGGAGATAACGACGAAGTCCAAGAGGTGGCCAAGGAAATCAGGTCTGCGCTAAAGACACTCCTCCAACGACCGATAGGGGGCTACTGCGGTCGCCACTGCAGTGCTCCTGTGTCCCACGAGCGGTTCTTGCAAACAAAGCAACAAGATACAAAAAACTTAGAAATGTAACCAAGATATTATACTGTGTCCAGAATGTAATTTGGCTCTGTGTCCGCACCAAAAGTGGGTTTTGGATCTAATGTCACAGCCCGCTAAGCTTAATTTCCCGTCAGTTGTGCAGTTTGGCATTGTGAATTATCGTGTTCACATGGGTAGTGACGCGGAAGCACCGAACATTGGACGCTCCGTACGCCAAAGTTGTGCTTTTACAGTAGTCAATAAAAATACAAAATAGATTGTGAACAGTAAAATACAGGGAGCGTCTAACAAAACCTAAGACATGTTAAAGCAACAAGGCATGAAGTTGGGCTAGCTGGTGATACATACATACCGGCGCCCTGTCTGTCTGTTTTTTCGTAGTGGTCCTACGTCTTTTTTGCGTTGTTCCCACCAGAAATGCTTAAGGTTATCTCTACGTTCAACGGAGCTCGCTTCGTGAGCACTTACCAGACTTCTACATAGTTCAGCTACTCTACTCAACTCACTTCAATTTAAGTAATTTTCTTTGTAGTTCAATATCTTTTAATTACTTTCTTATTTCGGTAATTAGTAGTTTACTTAAATTACTTTTTACGAATAACTTCTACTCAAATTTCAAATTACTTTCGAGTTATAGTGGTAGGTTTACGTATCAACAAATATTCCTGCAAAAAAAAAAAAAAAAAAGGTATCAGAAGATCAGCTGGTATTAGCAAAGAACGGAAAGCAAGTGGCGTAGGCATGGGGAATGGTTTGGAGGGTCCGAAACCCCCCAATATTTTTACGAGCCCCCCACTGCAACAACCCTGCTACAAGGCACGGAGAGCGGACTGACAGGTCGCAAGTGAGGCCGAAAAACTGCGGGATTAGCGCCAAAGAATTACGATTATCTGTGTCCCAAACCTCAAGGAAACTTCACGCATTTGAAGAAATGGCTTGTCTCCGCTTTTCTCCAACATAGTAACTCTCCCTTACTACAAAAGGTGTACATACTGCATCCTCACTCAAACGAGGCAACAAAATTCAGCACCCGGTCTGGTGCTCCCGTAGTTTGTGCTGAACTTGAAGAATCGCGTGTTTAAGAGCAACACAAAGGTGACATTTTCGTGTTGCCTTTCCTCACAAAACTCAGAATATGTAGGTCTTCCCAGTTTTGAAGATAGTTCGAGAAACCTTAGTAATTCACCCAACCTTTTTACATAAAAACTTAGAAAGGAGCAGTGTTGGAATGTACTTTAAGTACATTGTACTTAAAGTTCTACCCCAAGTAGGTTTAGAAAACTTGTGCTTTATTTCATGTACATTCTCTAAACATGTACTAGTACTTTGCTGAAGTATTTGTCCTGGTACTTTCCGAGGAAAGTACAATGCCCGTCGGATTTCCGAAGAGGTGCGAAGGATCCCAATTGCTCGCGCATCACACATACTTTGCCAGCAGCCCCAGAGAAGGCGTAGCTTTCCTTTAAACTGCCCACTTAGATATTCTGACACCTTTTCTAATTCAAAACCCCTTCGACTTTCTCTTTAGACCTTGTGGGGAGGGAGGGAGGGGGGGGGGGGAGCGAAGTGATTCGGGAACTGAACTGCCTCGGCTGTGGCAACGACAAATGAGAAGTAGATGTCACACCTACCTTAATAGCAAACCGAACCTGGTAGTCGTAGCGTCCTAACCCCGTACTCATTTTTAAGAAACCGCACTTTAACATTTCACTTTAGTCGCCAGAAACAGTTCTTTCTGGCATGTTTTTTTTTTGATGGATTTTACTTTAGCTGCTTAACTCCGGCTATATTATTGTAAAATATGTCAGCATCAATTTTATGTATGCCTAAATGCTCGTTCACATAAAAAAAAAAAAAAGATATTGGGGCATTGCAAAAGTTTGTGAGCGGTCGCGACTCGATATGTTATATTTTGAGGGGCTGTAAGGTAGCAGTGTTTGGGAAGCACTGGTGACGGCGCTAGATCAGAGTGTTCGCACCACTGACTAAAGGCTTTTTGCGGTGGTTCAATCGCGTGTCCAGCAGGTTTCCCCTTGGCACCGGAATTGCGGGTCATGTGGCCCAGACCGGAGAGAGTCTCAACATCCCCGACGCCTATGAGGACGACAGGTTCAACAGGTGGGTGCTCGCTCCACGCTCTGTTCTGAGTCGGGGAAAGGCGCCACTTTTCTTGCGCGCTGTGGACTAGGCCTTATAAAACTAAAGTTATGAATGACACCTCGTCAAGTTGCTGAATGATGCTTATTGTCCTTGCCCCTCCGCTCCCTGTAGAGGAAATAAAGAAGCATTATATATAAAATACAAGGAGACTTGGAAGCCAACAACTGAGTGACCTCGCGGTGCAAATAAGTTGAAATTACATACTTTTTGTATGCTTCAGTGAAAGCCGGTCGAAGAGAAAAAGTCAGAAGCGGTTTGTTTCATGAAGTCCCTGCTTAGACTGACTCACGACAAGCGCGTTTTTTTTCAATGCGACAAAATGCTTCACATCAAATACGAATTCGTGCTCTTCAAAGCTATGCAGTCTGTGTTTCAAGAAGGAGCATTTTCTTGAACGGAAAACGGCGGCAAGTCATTTTCTTCCGAATCTTTTGTCAGGTACTCAAAGGATATAAGAGGCATTGGTAACATGTAAGACTTTTCATTTAGGGCTGGAGCAGTGTTATGATTCCCCTCTGACCTTCGAGTTCCCACGCGCGATTGAGATTGATACGAATCCTGATTAAATCTACGGCGGTGATTTCCTGCTAGAAGGCGGGAGAGCCTCTCCGTCGCTCACGGCGACGCCTTATTTCCAGAGCAGTGGACCAGCAGACCGGCTACACCACGAAGAGCCTGCTCTGCATGCCAATCTTCATCAGGGGAAGGCAAGTCGCCTTCGTCTCTTCCGTTGGTCCAGGATGAGACGTCGAAAAAAGATCGCTCGCGCAGTTATTTTGCCGATGACGAAATATAACTCTCAAAGTAGAACTATTTTTTCCGGAATTACACAGTTTGAACGAGTCACTCCTACGGTATCTACGAAATGTCTCGTTCAAAGAGATATAGATATCTCTCATCTCTACCCAGAACAAAAATATTAAGTGACACCTCGTACCAAGAAATACGGTACCATGGTCTGACATCCCCGCAATATCTTAACTGAAGCGGGCTAGCATAAGAAAAATCAGCCCATCCACCCATCCTATATCTTGATATCAGTGACCCTCGCGTCCAGAGGGTGAAATAGTACCCTCTAAATGATCGCTTCGCTGGTGCGGATGAACCGAACAAATTAGTGTATCTAGAACTTATACCCAATGGATCGGAAGATGAATCTTATCCTTCAGAAAGTGGGGGCTCTTTGTAATCAGGAGCAATGGATGCGATGCATTCTTATGTTATAATGCTGAAAGAAAAGAAACTGTGTTTCATCTCTCTGGTCACTCATGATCAGCTAGATAATTTGGTAGATGCTCCTATTATTTATAATGATATTACTTGATTTCACTTTAATTCAAACGAAGCTCCAATGTAGCCAATCAGTCGGCTCCGAAAATGCACCGTCATGGCGCTCGTTGTTTTTCTGGGTACGCTATTGACTGTTTAACGAATCACGCACAATAGAAAGAATCACGGTGCATTCGCTGATTTGTTCAGTCCGTGATGGCAAACGGACGAAGGCGAGAAGTTTTGGTAATGCTTGATTTGCCCCATCGGACCCTAGCGTCCACTGCGCCCGGAATGAGTCTAGCTTTTCTCAACCAATGCATTTTAATACTTTTCTCTGCAAATATATATCTAAAAAAATTGTAAACACTTACGTAACCCGTAAGGTGAAACACAGCGAAAGTGGTGACGACAAGCTGAACGTGATACCAGCATTATTACTACACTTCGTTTTATGGTAAGTCCGAGTGCAGTTCCAGTCTCGTACAGATACAAACACTGACACTCATAGAAAAAGCGCAAGTCACCGGGTATTAAGCGCGCTTGGTTTAATTAGCCGATGCCAGAGCACGCAAACGGATATGACGGCCGACACGATTTTACCCTTTTGATGGTTTTTGATAAGTGTCACGGGCTTGTAGCGTCGGCTGACCTCCGATTTAAAGTCGCGAAACGAAGTATAAGGCTGTGCGAATGGTGTCTGGAATAGAATAGTGCAACGCCATTCGCAGCTTCAACACTGCAAAGAAAATGTCGCTCGCGGGTTTCCCTAGCAATCTAAAGGCTATGAATGACACAGTGTTATTGTATTGGAACCACTATTGGCACACCCTCGCAAATATCCGAAACTGAGTGTTTTCCGTGGTCACAATACATGCGGCAATTAACTCTTTGTCGAGTGAGGATAACGTGTGGGTGGTTTTTCTGCAGCATCATCGGAGTAATGCAGATGGTGAACAAAACGACTGGCACATTCAATAAGGCGGACGAAGAAGCTTTCGCCACCTTTGCCACCTACTGTGGCCTCGCCCTCCATCATGCCAAGGTGAGTGCTTAAATAAATTACGCACGAGAGAAAGCAATCGCCGTGCATGTGGCGGTAGTGAAGGCGATAGATTGCTAAATTTGGATGTACTCACGTTTCCGGATTTAAATGATGATACAAGTAAACCAATTTTATTTTATGTGACGATCTGCGGGTAAGACATTTTTGTGGAGAAAATATGTTGTCAACAAAAACAAATAAAACTTAATCTTCTTTGCGAGCAGTTATTTTCACACAAATTAGTTTCACATTCGTGCACAACGCCATTCATTGTTTTGACTAAACAAAACGCGCATTCTAAGTAACCCATTCTAAGAAACCGAGTACAAAAACAAGCTCGAGACAACCGTAAAAAAACAAAAAACAAGACAAGAAACTCGTCATTGTCGTCTTCAATGCAAGCAGGAAAGGCTTCGACGGGGGACCCTCACAGACAATCGGCGTCACTGTGCTTTCGGCCAGACTTGTACGCCATGGTCATGTCTAACTCCTGCAGTCACAGACTGCACCGGGCGAAGCGTCTTGAGGGGTCTTTCAGATTAGCGAGCCAGCAGAGGGCGAGCGGTGGTCTGTAACCACTCGGAACGGACTTCCGTCCAAGTACGGGCGAAGCTTGGGGATGGGCCGGGTGACGGCAAAGCATTCTTTCTCCGTCGTAGAGTAATTACCCTCCACCTTGGACAGTGTACGGCTTGTATAGGCGATTGCCCTCTCTGTTTCTTTCTGTATTTAAGCTAGCGCCTCGCCAAGCTCCGTGTTATTTGAATCCGTGTGAATTTCTTTTTGTGCTTGCTGATCGAAAGGGCCAATAACTTAGGTGTCTGAAGTCTTCGTTTCGGCTCGTCGAACACCCTCTGGTGCTCTTCTGTCCACTGAAACTTTACAGAACTTCACAAAATCTGGAACGGAGCGCCTGTACTAGGCACAGAGGCCTAGGAACCTTCTTACGGCTTTTTTGTTCGACAGCAGGGAAAATGCGGCTACGGCACACGTCTTTTCGGGGTCAGGACGAACATCATCGCTGCTCACGACGTGGCCTTGGAACATGAGCTCACTATAGGCTCCAGCGGCGCTGCTGGCCTTACGTACGGCACGGAGTCGTCGTAAGTGCTCCTCAAGGTAGATGGCGAACGCCACAACGTCGTCGAGGTAGACGAGACAGTTTGCCATTTTAAGCCTACTAGCACGGTGTCCATGACACGCTGGAAGGTCGACGGTGCTGTGCATAGTCTGAAGGGCATCCCTTTAAATCCGTACACTCTGTCGGGCGTGACGAAGGTAGTTTTCTGCCGGTCCCATTCGGTAACCTCGATGTGCCAGGTAGCCACTCTTTAAGTCCATAGACGAAAAGTATCGAGAGGTAGACGGCTTTCTTGGTCACACCATTGAGTCGACGGTAGTCCATGCAGAATCTTAGGGCTCCGTGCATCTTCTTTATGAGCACCACAGGTGAAGTTCATAGACTGCTTGACGGCTGGAGGATGCCATCATCGAGCATTTCCTAAACCTGCGCTTGGATGACTTTCATCTCTTTCAAAGAGACACGGTACAGTGAGGGTTAGACTGAGTGGACGTCACCGTTTGTAACAATGCTATGTTTCGCCACCGGTGTTAACTTTCGACGACATGGGAAAACGGTCACTGTATTTAGCAAGGTGGTGAACCAGTTGCCGGCACTTTGTAGCTGGGAGCTCGGGATCGATGTCGGTCTGTGGCGGCGCCGTGCTCTTGTGCTGTAAAACGAGGTTTTCTCAAAGATTGCGGTGACCATGACAGGAGCTTGAAGTTTCGCTACGTACCCCACGTTGGCACACTCCGTTACGTGCTGCGCCTCCTCTGGAAAGTTCGTCATAAGAACAGTTGTACGTTCTTCCTGGAGATCCGTTACGCCCCGTGCGATGCCAATTTCTTTTTCAGGAAGTATTTGGACGCTGCCTTCCGGAAGAGCTTCACCGCACATGACTGCGTCGGTTATGATGGTTACAAAAACACTCGACTGCGGCGGTCGGTTCGCATCGTCGGCGAAACCTTGGATCGCGGTTGACATCGCGTTGGGCTCTAGCGACGGCAGAACAGGCTTTCGTGGCGTCAACTGTTTTGTCACGATTTCGATGACAGCCCCATACTCGCAGAGTGAATTCATTCCGAAAATAACGTACGTCTCTCGCAAAGCCTTGCAAAACGACGAAGTTCACCGGGCACGTCTCAGCGTAGATCGCGTTGCGAGCAGTGCATCTTTCGACTGGTGTGTTGAGGGGCCCTCCGGCGGTTCGTATTTGAGGTCCATCCCATCGCGTTGTCACTTTTCGCAGGCGGCAAGAGAGCTTCCACTCAAAACTGAGTAGTCTATTCCGGAGTCCACCAGTGCCGATGTGTCGTGGCCGCCGATATCAACGTTTAGGTTGTTGGGCACGTTGCAGGGGCGTCGTTGCGATGTGTGGCGTCGGGAGGGTGGGAGCGCTCCGGCGTTCTTGAAAGCTCTTTGCTTCGGTCGTCTTCGGCAGTGCCACCTCCAGGCGTTGCCGCATTTTGTTTTCGCGACGAGACAGGGGGACAGGCTGTCATGCTGAGAGCGGCAGAAGGGCGAAAGCGCTTGTCGAGGCGAAGGTGAACGGGAACTTCGTGGTAAAGTCGGCTCCGGGTTGAGAGGTCGCAAAAAATACTCCTCGATGTCCCTTGGTCGCTCCCCAAGGCGGCGTCTCGGGTCGCTCGGTGCAAAACCTCACAAGCCCATTTGTCGGAAAGGGCGCCTCCGATAGACGTGGTAGACCTCACCGCAGTTATAACACAGCGGTCGTCGATCGGCTGTGCGCCACACATCCGCATTCCTAGGCGCTTGCTGTTCGGTGCGGACGAGCTGGAGCTTCTCTTCCTGACGTCGGAGAGACTTATGGCCTGTTCACAGATGCAGCGGAGCGCTAAAAGCATAGCGCTGACCTCGCGCTAAGTGCGTGCCGACGGGACCGTTCACCAGCTTTCTATCGCACCGTCAAAACTGTTGCTCATGGCAGACAATAAGTAGATGACGACACGTGAGTAGCGCTTCATCAGCGCTTCGCTACACGTGAGAACCAGCCTTAAAGGGCTGTTTATACTACGATGAGCGCAGAGAACGCAGCGTAGCGCAGAACGTGCTCTACGCACGTGTCGTCATCTACTTATTGTCAGGCAATGAGCGCCGGCAACCAGGAACTCGATATCTGCAACCAATCACTATCTGTCCGCGCTGCGCTGCGCCGCGCCTGTCGACGTTACGTTGGAGTATAAACGTACTTTGAGGTGCCGGTATCTCACGTCGAGTTGGCATCGAATACTGCCGGGTAGTTGGTGCCGGTCTCCGAGCTACTCCGGCGTTGGTTAGAGAGGGCTCCTCGGGTGCTGCTACGATGGCAGGAGCCAGCGGTTGGAATGCCCGCTGAACTTCCTCGCGTACAACTACGGCAATCGACAGCGAAACGGGCTTGTTGACAGCAGGCAGGATCTTAGTAATTTCCTCCTGAACGACGTCCCGGATGATCTCGGAGATGTCCGGGGTTTTGCAGCTGGACGCCGAGAGTAGCGAAGCCGGGAAGTCTCTCGTAGTGGGAGGACCGTGCCTGAGTGATGAAACCATCGCCGGTGGTAGGGGGGCTCTGCAAAAGGCCTCTGAAGATGTTTTCCTTTCACTCCCCGCTTCAGGACCTGCAGCTTTTTCTCTTCGATTTGGATCGGCGCGGCGAGGCGGAGAACGATTTTGTCTAAACTTGTGGCGGACTCGTTCGGCCCCTGGCTCTGGCTTGTTCCTTGCAGAAGTTCTTTGGCCCCCTGACGTCACTGCTGGCAGGCAAAAGTGCTTCGAAGCTCGGCCTGGTAGTTTTCCCCTCGGCGAAATCGACGCTTTGTAGTTTTCAAACCAGGTAGGTGCCGTGCCTTCAGAGTGAAGTATTCATTCCGTAAGCACTGTTCAGACCTCCATCCGTTGAACTGGGGCGACGCGCTAGTACCGGCTGAACCTGTCGTTCTTATCTTAATAACGGTCGCCTCTAAAATTCGCCGGCGTCCGTGGTGGGGCCTGCACGTAGACGATAGACGTTGGTGGCGTTCCATTTTGACCTCGCCTCTCTGCTTGTCGGAACTACTTGGGAACACCACCAGGCAATCATCTCCATAAATAGAACCTCAGAGGTATTCAGGTCATGCTCAGGGCGGTCAAAATTTACAAAAGAAGAACGGATAGGTGGGAGCTTAGAGTTCCTAGACTTAAAACTTACTTTTACAGACGACCATTGGTGCTGGTCTTACCGTCCCAGGAGTAAGAGGGTAGCGCTGCCATTCGATTCTAGTCACTCCAAGTGCTGAAGAGGGCATCTCCGTAACCTGTCTGAAAACATCCTTGGCTAATTCATGTCCAGATGAGATGAGGTGTAGTTTTTCAATCCAAGTAAAGGCTAAGAACGTATATCCGCATGGCCTTCTCGTGGACGTGGCAGAGAGTCTCATTAAGGCACTGAAACATCCGGCAAGTATGGTAGTTAAACCTGAAGTAAGGCCAGCGGTTTTACCGTACATACACAAGGTGACTCATAGGTTGAAGAATGTGGCGCAGAGGCATAACATCCCGGTGGTTTTCTCAGCCCCATCGAAGTTGGGAATGTACTGTGCAAGAGTAGATTGTGGTGAACAGAGGAGTCACGCATGTACATAGAAACACAGAAAACAGTTTGTACAGTGTAGGGAGGGTTTCGTTTATCAGATACCCCTGTCGTGCAATAGTGTACATCGGCCAGACACGTTGCTGTATAAATAAGAGGCTAAGAGAATACGCGCTCTCGATGAGGTCATCGCCCTCGGGAAATCTCGCCATTCATTGGGACAGATGCGGGTTTGAATCGATGTTAGAAGACACAGTCGTCATGAGGGGGTATAGACAGCAAACATCATCCTGGGGAGATGGCCGAGGCGTACCAGATATCTCGACCTGCAAATGGCGTTTGCGTAAGTGCGTCCTCGATCGGTCTGTTTAATAAAGAACTGGCGTTCCTGGGGGCACATATATGACTGTCATAGTGCATGAGAATGTTATGAGAATTGCGTTCTATTTATTCACGGCAATTTTTCAATGTGTTGTTTTACAATAAAATTCAGTAGAGAGTCAACACTCTGTCTGTCTAAGTCTCCTCTTGTCCTTCGTTTTGTTCGCGCTGTTTTTATTTCCGCTTGAGTGGTTTGCACACTTGAAACGACCGCAGACGAATTTAGCGAGGTCGGCATATTTGACACCATATAATTTAACTGTAAAGATTATCGAAAACAAACTGATCCTCCGTCAAGCCAGGATTGCCTGCTCTGCTTGAGCATCCCTCCCTCCCTCCGCCTCGTTATTGACGTCATAGCGCCGCGTTGCAAATGCCTGACGATTTCGCCGCGTGATGAATGGCCCGGGTAGAAATCCCCGAGATTTCGCCCTCGTGTAAATACCCCTTTAGCCGTCCCAAGGGATGGATTGCTATCAATGCAGAGCGCAAGTTCGTCTGCTTCTTGCACAGGGGGTTATGGTGACGTCAGGACGTCGCCGAGCTCTGATTGGCTCCGATTGAAGGATAGTGGGTAGACCTCGGGGCAGCTTCTTTTGAGGCCTCCCACTGTCCTTCAATCAGAGCTCGGTGTTCTGACGTACCCTCGCATCTCCTCCTCTCTCTCAGTTGGCTCTCTGTATGGAAGAAAACAATAAATTTGTGACGTGTCCACCATCATATAAAATATGCAAAGTATAACAAAAAAAATGTAATGTTCACCCCAAGTTTCGAAGAGTGGAGCGGAAACACACAAAGTATATAGACGATCGCAAACAGGGCATCTGGCAGCCGCCATGTTCCAGCTTGTGCGATGAAGCACGCGAAATTGCGAGCCTGCAAAAGCCAGCTCCACGTGCATACTTTACGTGCTTCAACGCATGGGGCTCCAGTCGGGACGCCATGCTTGCAAACGTGTATTCCTACTTGACCCATAAGACTGAGAAAAATCGAGCTTTCTTTTCTTTTTTTCGGTAGGGTTCGCTAATACGTTGTTGAACCGTTTCGCAGCTGTACGACAAGATCCGGCGCTCTGAGCAGAAGTACAAGGTGGCCCTGGAGGTGCTGTCGTACCACGCCACGTGCACCGAGGAGGAGGTCCGGCGAATCGAGGCTTCAACGGCGCTGCCGCATCCGGCGCAGCAGCTACAGACCTTTACCTACTCGCCGTACAGCATCGGCGGCGACGAGCAGGTCGTGGCCACCATCTTCATGTTCAAGGACCTCTTTAAAAAGGAGCTGTACGTTACTCTTATTTCGTACTATTTCTCTCTGCACACGTTTTTTACTCGGGAATTTTTTTTATTATTATCAGTGTTTTCCTGTCCGTAAGTCGCACCGCTGTGTAAGGCACACTCCTTAAAAACAAATGATTTATCGAGAAAGAAAAAAAACAACAAAAAACGATCACACAAAGTGTGCAGCGATTGGCAGCGGTAGCTCCTTCGTTGCGGAAAGGCATCTTAAAAGAGATTTGTTTTCAGCCAGTGTGCTGTACAATTTTTGTCATGCGTTCCTTGATTTCAACTGAAATAATGTAGGAGACATGTGTGAGGAGATATGTGCTTCGGTGGAACGATTTTGCGTAACGTTGCGTTTGTTGGAAAAGGACACAGAGGCGTACTTTTTTTCGCTTGATCGCCCTTTCTGAACGGGGGTACCCGTGGCCGGACCTGAGGTGGAAGAAGGAAAAGTATGTACGCGAACAGTTGTGCAGGGGCGTAGGGGGCACACGAGAACGGAGCCTGGGTGGCGGTAAAATAATCAAAGTCCTGGGTCATCGAAGGCACACACCAAATATTAAAAACAGAAAAATACAGGATTCACACTTTTTGTGGCTTCTAGAAACCTGCAAATACGTTGAATTAAAAACAAAACGTTGAACAGAGAACCGAAATGACTCTGTGCATCCTCTACGCAATTGTCAACTTGGCGTCGTATTGCGTCAGTCGCTGGCTGGACGGCTGATCGAAGCGGAGAACTGTTGTTGGCGGCAGGGCTGGGCAGAGATACTCCGAAAGGTATCGGGGGATGCTGATACTGAGATACATGTATTTCAAGTACAAAAATAGAGATACTAAGTCACATTTGTCTTTCATGAATCGGGATATCCCTTAGATACTTCTGAAAAGACATAAAAAAGTGTTCCGCAATGCAGATACAAATAAATACTTATAGAAATGCATTTGCTCCCAAACGGTCCTACGGGGGGGGGGGGGGGGGGGGGGGCGTAGATCGTGGCGAATGCAAATGGAAATTTATGCTTGTGCTCCTCTTTTTGTGTCATTTTTTGTACAGCACGCCTAAAACTTAACGCCGCCACGGCACTTGCCGTTTCTGACAGTCCCTGTGGCGGTTGACTGCACTGTCTGAAGAATGTTTGGGTTCCCAATTTCTATCCCATTCCTGAGAAGGCATCCCGTAATCCCGTAAGCTTTGGTGACAAATTTAACAGTAACTAGCCGACACGAGCTCAATGTTTGGGAACTCAGTGGCGGCGTTAAGTTTGGGGAGCACCCCTTACCTCAAACTAATGCTGCTAAAAAAAAACATGTTAATTCTGCAGATTGGGCGAGTTGGTAAGGCATAATTACGACCGAGCGCACAGCGCACGGGTCGAGAGTAGACCAGCATATCACCGGCTTATATATGCTCGTGATTAATTTTGTAATTATTTTTGTAAATTTTGTCATTCTTGGACTCGGCTGTATTAAAATTATTCTCCTTTGTTCTCCTTTTCTTTGTCTTCTATTTTTATTTTTCTATTCTTCTCTGTTTTTCTTTTTCTTTCACCATTCCTCCCTTTGCCTTGTCTTTCCCCTTTTCGTTCTTTCTCTTGTTTGTTGGGCTGGCGACGTATTCCTTGGGGTCGAAGAACAGGAAGTTTGGAATACAAATCAGTTCATATTTCAGCGCTGTGTGAGTGTATTTTTGTGTGTGTTTGGATTTTGAGTAACTGTCTACCTGTGCGTTGGTTCGTAGCTATAAAAAAAAAGTCACGCCCGATGAACCACGTACTTACAGAACGGTAAAGACTGCGTGCTATGCTTGACAAAAGGCGTTTGAACGAAATGAACCCTGTTTTGCCGTGAGGGCGCATCTAAAACTGTCGTCTTATATGCTTCTGAGTCACCCATGGCGTGAGATTTGACAACAGAGCCGTATACGTTTTCTCCATTCAATTCCTTTACAGCATTCGCTATGCTAAATTGGAAAGATTCGAGGGATCTGCGAGAGGAGCTTATTTTATTGTTCTCGCAAGTTACCTTCATTAAATTACAAGTTTTCTTTATGCTGTTGATTGTCATGAATTGTGATATAGGGCGAGTTCATGTTATGAATTCTGAAGAAACTCTTACCAAACACATGTTTATATATATATATTTTTTTTTTTGTAAATTTATCGTAAAAACGGCAACAAATGTAACGAGATACCTAAGTCTGGCAAAGTATCGCGATACATTATAAATATATTTCACTACTAAAATACAATTACATTTTTCAAATGTATCTTGATACAGAGTTACAAATACTTGAAAGTATACTCTAAGATACTATCGCGACACATTTGTATTGCTATACTGCCCAGCCCTGGTTCGCGGTACCGATGAATCTGCCTAGCTTAGGAAGTAAAACGTTTACCGATCAAAACAAATAGAATTTATTCCGTACGACACGCCCGACCACCAAGATGATTCACACGAACACGTCGCTGAGTTGTCGCCCCTTTTCCTGGCCGAAGATGTCAAGCACCTAGTGCCTGACTTTTGCGTGATTTGTGCGTCATGCGACGTGTGCGTTTTGGTCTGCTTCGCACGACCAGAAAAACGAAGGAAAAAAAAAAAAAAAGAAAACGCGGTCGGGTGTAGCTACGTAACTTCCGGCCAACTTTCTCCTTCTATACATTTCTTCTTCCTCTCCAGTTCAGTGTCGATTTCGGTTTATAACAGTTCTGTTTTTTTACTTTAATATAAAAATATACGTGAGGCTGTAGCAAAATATTGATTGGGTAGTCTTCTGACACCATAATTAATCGCCTGACAAAAAATACTTATTGGTGAGTGTTAGCATCTTTTTAAGGGGAGCCGATCTCTTCTGCAGGTTCGACGAGGACTCGCTGGTTCGGTTCACTCTGACGGTGCGAAAGAACTACCGTCGGGTCCCGTACCACAATTGGTCGCACGGGTTCTGCGTAGCCAACGCCGCCTACGCCATTCTCAAGCATTCCACAGGAGCATTCAAGCCCCTGGAGGTGAGGTTCCTATCACGCGGTTCATCATTCTTTTCCTATGACATTTTAATGCAGAAGTGCATTCAAACAGGAGTTAACTCATATATTGCTTGCTTATGTGTCGTGCTATCGCTCCGCCTTAGAGTGTAGATGGTAGTCCCACTGGACGGAGGGTTTCCCCAGCAGATTGCAAAATGTAGCCGAAGTGGAGGGGTTATAGCTTCTTTTTCCAGGTTTGCACATGTTACTTTCTATGCGCTCCTTTGACCATTTGGCTTAATACGTCACAGTCAGTTGATGTGCGGTCGTCGAGACGTGGGAGAGGTACGACGCGCCTTTGTTGTCTCTTCTTGCGAGCATACATGTTTCTCCCCTGGTTTTAAAGGGATTGTCCGGTCAAATTTTGTATTCGAGAAAACAATTGAATATCATTGTTATTGCCTCGAGACGCATCGTACGTGCAATATATAAATTTTATATACCCCTCTGTGTGAGTAATTGAATTTATACTGCTCCAATCGCATTCTAGCGTAAACGCTGCTTTCGTTGGCAACATTGAAGCTCTGACATCACAAAACACAAAGCGAGCATTTTTAACTCGTCGTTTGCCTGGGAGTGAACGCCTCAGCGTGCTTCGTTTTTGTTGCTGTGCTCGACTTGTTTCGTGGTTGGGTGAGATTTTTGTTGCGCGGTTGGGTGCCACAACCACCGGGCAGCACATGCAAGCCCAAGACTTGACGTTCCACACTCTTCCGCGTGACATGCAGTGACGAGCAAAGTGGACCGTCGTCGTGCGTAGGGACTGGGTTCCCGTCGAGATCGAGATTCCGCTTATGCATCAATCATCTCACAGAAGAGAGCTACGAGCTGAGCTCTAAGCGGACAGAATGCTTGTAATTTGAGATGTGATACTGTGCCAACAATATTAAACTACGTCCACCTACTCCTCGCCCAAATCGGATCAGTCAATTTAGTTCTGTTCAATTCGCCTGAACTGGCTGAACTAGTTCAGCAGTGCAGGAACTGGTGCATTCGATTCAACCGGAAGTTGCACGGCCGCTGCACTGGCGCGTTTGAATCATCCCAGTTCTAAACGAGTTCAGACCCAGTTCCTCAAAATCTTGCACCGGCTCCGGACTCAGTTCAGCGTCCGTGCGGAAGCAGACGACAAGAGCAGACGGCGATAGCAGACGACACTCTTCATCCGTCTCTGCTCGCGGTGCCATTTTTCGCAGCTCTTACACTAATGTCTGCGATGTTTAACAATAACGCCGATACGGAGGTTGCATTTCCTCTCATTTAGGATAATAACGTACCCGCGGTGGACGCGTAATTGAGATCATAACCGAGGTTAGGAATATGCTTGATTATGATATTCTGAAAGCGTTTTAGGCAGCTGCTCGCGTAGGTTTGGCTCCCTGTGGTGAGTGTTGAAATATTGGCTCACGTAAATTGTTTCTTTTTCATGCCATGTGGGGATCCACAGTGTTCATATTCTTAATTTAGGTAAGTGGTCAGCTAGAAGGATAGGTACAAAACACAGACAGAGAGAAATAGAGACATACACACTGCTGACTATCAACTAAGACTTTATATTTCTTCTTCATCACTTCGACCCAAAGATTCGCACCTAAAGTAATGCCAATGAATCATCTTAAACCCTTAAATTACACTTCTAAATTAAAATACTAAATAAAATTATTAATTACACTAAATTACTAAATTTGGTCACTAACACCTCCCTGATCTAACCGACATACCACCGCCGACACATTTCCCTCTTATTCCCTTTCACGGGGCCTTGCCACACTGCAAGAACTGTTTTTCTTTCTTGCTGACCGTGATGGAGGGCATGCTTACGCAGTCATCGGCGGTTCGCTCAATGGCCAGGGCCTCGAGAATCTCGCGCGCGCAGGCATTTCTGTGTCTGTTAACAATGGAGACGCTGCTAAAACTGGGCGTGCACCCACACGTGCGGCAATGGGCTGCAAGGTGCCCAGCTCCCGTGCCCTGCACCGACGCCGCGTGCTCCCTGACTCTGTCATTTACGCAGCGTCCCGTCTGCCCAATGTAGCAGCTCCCACATTACATTGAAATCTTGTACACTACACCAGTCTGGCACATGGCGTACTTAGTCCTCTGCGCGGTGTTGCAGGTTGGCTGGCGGTTCTTGGCCCGATTAACTCTGCGGCACATAGAGTTCCCTCTGTTCGGTGCCGAGCACACCACCCTAACATCTTGTCGTGCAGCGATCTTTTTGAGCCGGTGGGTGGCACCATGGATGTAGAGGGCTACTGCGAAGTTCTCTCGTGAAGTCTATCTCGCTCGGTACTTGGTGATCCTCTTGAGAATTTTTTGCATATTGTCTCACATACAGCTCCAAGGAGCACACCTGGGTACCCAGAGTCACGAAGCCGGGCCATTTGCTTCTGAAAGCTGGCGTCAGCTTGATGTTTGCATGACTTGCGCAGCGCTGATACGAGTGCCGTGTTGGCAACACTTCGTTTTATGGTTTTCGAATGCCAGGATGCGAATGGAAGAAAACCTTTACTTGAACGAGGTTCGTACCTCCGGCACACATGTCCATTTTTAAACTCAAGTGCGAGATCCAGGAACTTAATAGACTTGCCCACGGGTAGTTCATGAGTGAAGAGCAGGTCGGGGCAACATTCATGGAAGGTTTTCATGACCGTGCTCCTGCATCCGTTTTCTTCACTTTCGATGTCTGTGCTGCACAGGATCAGGAAGTGTCCACGTACCTGAAGATGGCTTTGACTCTAGCATCATTCAGTGTGGATTGAATTTGCCTACCACACGCCGCCAAGAACAGATCGCATAGATGTGGCGCCACCCTAGAACCAATGCAGATCCCACTTTTTTGGACGTAGTCTAGACCCTCTTACGAGATCACGGTCGCCGTTAAATATACTCCGAGCAGTTCCAAGAAGGCGTCTATGCTAATCCCTGCTGCGGTTTGAGAAGGCGTTACGCCGTGTTCCTCGATGGTCTCTCGTAGAATTGGCATGAGGCTGGTGTGGGGAACTCTTAATAGTAAATGTCCTGGATGTCGATGGAAGGTCTAGATACTACCTGGGATCCATGTTCCTGAAGATAGGCAATAAGCTCTTCTGAGTAAGAAATTCTGTACGGGTCATGGCAATGCACCTGGGACAGGTGCTTTGCAAGATAGGTTTACACATGAGCTTGCCAGGTTTTCCTCTCGGAGACAATGGCACGAAACGGTACCCCTACCTTATGTGTTTTGGCCGAGAAGGAAACTTCTAGGTGTCCGCTTTTCGTAGCTTTCACTTTGGTGCCCAGGCTGGTTAGATTGTGATCTTCAAGCAGCCGCTTAGCGGCAAGCTTCGCTTTTTGGCTTCGTTTCCCATCAACCTGGATGAAGTTTTTTTCTGCGGCAGCGTTGGCCTTCTCTCCATAGGTCCCAGCATCAAGGACTACAAAACCTCCTTCCTTATCTGAGACACAAAGCCGGAGATCTTTACTTCGTAGTTCTTGTACAGCGCTGCCAAAGCCCAAGCCTGGACGTGCCGGACACATTTGGCTTGCGAAGCACTCAATGCCTTCCGTGATAATTTGTGATTTCTGCTCTTCGTGAGCTCGGGACGCAATAATGCGAACAAGGGCAACCTTGTCTACCGTCTCTACCTGTGGTGGTGCAGCATACTTCGGTCCTTGTTCGAGAATGCATGTTGTCCTTTCTGAGAGATGGACATCACCAAGTGTCTGGAGTGGCCACCTTTTGGCGTGTTCTTCTTTCCGCAGGGCGAGATGTCGCTTCAGGGCAGGAAGAAACCAGGATTTCCACAGGCTTTCTGTGGAATACCTCGCCATCGCCAGTTGGTTTCTGAGCACGTTGTGATTTGGGCACTTAGCACGCAGGAAGTCAGTGAGGAGGCGTTGTTGGCGCCACATTTTTGACCGGAGTATCTTTGTCACCCGCATGGCGTGTCCTTGCGACGGTGCAACAGCTCCGAAAAACTGCCGAAAAACTGCCAACAACGCCTTCTCACTGACTTCCTGCGTGCGGTGGTATGTCACACGAGCCTAAAGGTCCCTTTAGCTAAGGGACCTTTATGACCAGCGGCGAATCAGTTCGCGATCCTCGGCGCGTGGCATGTGCTCGCGATCTACCAGCGCTGGCTGATTCGCCGATTGCAAAGGGACCTATGCTAAAGGTACTTTTATGCTGGTCGTGTGAATGGGGTATAAGATGATTCATTGGCATTACTTTAGGTGTGAATCTTTGGGTCGAAGTGATGAAGAAGAAATATAAAGTCTTAGTTGATAGTCAGCGGTGCGTATGTCTCTGTTTCTCTCTGTCTGTGTTTTGTCCCTATCGTTCTAGCTGACCATTTACCTAAATTATGTACCAACTAGCTCAACTTCAGCCTGATATTCTTACTTGGATGCATATTGACGACTCCGATACAATGCAGGGGTCTGGGATTTAGTGCGTTGGCACTCGCATGTTCCCGTTGCTGAGCATAATACTGCATGCTTTGTCCGCTGGTATCTGTGGACGCCCACTAACGGGCCTGGGAAATTTTTTTTCGTGGTTCGACGCCAATGTTACGGTCGATGACTGTCTTGGCCAAGGCTCTACCGTCAAGCCTTCTTCGAGGTGACCGGTATACCGACCGCGCGCTGCGCCAGTGACTTCCGACGCAAAATCATCCCGATGCCGCGAACCTATCGTCGAAATGCAAAGATTCCCTTTGAGGGGCATTTGCCGCTACCTTCTTGACTTATAATCGACTATAGTTCAGAACTTCCTGGCCGAATCGAACAGACCTTGATTATGCAGCGAAACCGAAACCAACAGCTAGGCCATCTCGAAATGGTACCAGAAGTTGTATTTAGCACCAGTGCAGCCCGATATCTATTTGACCCGCGTGTGAAAATGGAGCGTGACTACGATTCACCAAGCTCGTCCAAGTTAAGTGACGACATGCAAATGAACGGTTCGCTGTTTGCCTTCGACCCGCGGACATTGCCTCTGA